TCTACAACATGACTGAATACACCAAATCTTCACCTCATCTCATCACTCGCAATTGAATTGTGTAAACAAGCGGACAAACCTGACTCTCATAATTAGACTTGAGCGCAAGATCAACGACGAGCTGCAGAAGTGCTGGACTAAACTGATGTCGGGAGTAATAGACCGATACAACAGAACGCTTCACGAAGTTACCGGCTGCTCACCATCTTTCCTTATGTATGGAATGACATCTTATACAACTGTAATCGAACAGCGACAGAAAATGGAAAAAGAAACGCACGGATACCTGCTGTTAATAACTATATCGCCTACCATAATGAGAACAAAGTAATCTTGGATAAATTTTTTTCCGGTTCAATTCTAAGTCGGTGTATTCGTCATTTACGAGACACCATGGCAACCCAACAACCGCAAACTCAGTTTGCGGTTGTTGGGTTGTCATCGTAGACATCGCTACCAAGAGTATATTACCGAATTTCGCCATTTTATGACATCAAGGTCACACACACACACACACACACACATATATATATATATATATGAAAGTATGAACTTGTTCGCACTTGTTCTGACGAAGACCGGTGCACCGGTCGAAACTGTTGGTAATAAAATTAAGACAACCGCTAAGTTGTGTTTCTTCTCTTCCAAAGTACTATATATATATATATATATATATATATATATATATATATATATATATATATATATATATATATATATATATATATAGTCAAGTAGAAGTGTTTATTTCGACATTTTCGGCCAGAGTCTGGCCTTCGTCAGGAATGAAAGTACATTCTGTTCGCGCTCACATTTACAATATCTTGAGGAAAGAAATGAGAAGAAAAAAACGGCTAGGACAGAAAAAAAAAGAAAAATGACAAAAACTGAAATAGAAAAAAATATATAAAAACTTCCAATGTTCACTGCGCTATGCGAGTGGCATCGTGAGTGCGTATTTTCTTAGAAGTATTGCGTTCAGTGTAGTTGGCGGTTCTTTTAGTGTAGACGGTGGCCGGCTAAGGTAAGGGCTCGCGTATCGCATCGTCTCTTTCTTTGTTTGCCAACCGTCACTAATCAGGCGTCAATGGTCTGGGTGGCCTTGGTGTGACTGTCGGTCGTCGTGTTTCCACCACGTGAAACGGCGTCTTGAGGCTCCAGTGAGGCGGCGCAGAAGAAAAAGTTTCTCAACGAGCTGTCTCGCTTTGAAAAGGTACCAGGCAGTGTCGCCGAAAGACTGGAATGGGCGTCTACAGTGAATACAATTTTGTTCTGAGAATCCGCCTTTGGGGGCTTTTAGTTGTGCATGCGGTGGCAGTTCAACCTGTCGTGCTTACTACCTCTGATTTGTTTGCAAAAGATGTACAAATAAATAGACGACTGTAGGCCATTAAAAAAGATAGTTACACTGAAACACGGAAAAATATTTTCGATTGTCCATTCCTCGTCACAGTTACAGCGCAGCAAAATGTTAAAATGTCAAAATCTTTATATATATATATATATATATATATATATATATATATATATATATATATATATATATATATATATATATATATATATATAGCTGAAAGTGTACCCGGACTTTCATTTTATGCCTTTTTGAGGATATTAAATTGGTTTTTGAGGTAAGCATAATGTTGTTTACGTTCCCGGTTTGATTTAAATTCTGTTTTTAAAAGTGCGACTGGCCATTTTTTGAATGAATGGCCGGCAAGAATACGGTGTTTCCACTGAGGTAGATTCGGGGCAGATCTTGCGTGGCCTCTGTGATTATTGAAACAAATCCTAAAAGGGTGTTTCTGTTTGGCTGATGTATTGCATGACACACGCGTTGCATTCAAGTAGCTATACCACATTAGATTAATCGCATGTTAGATTTCCTCGTATGTAAGTTGAAAACTTGGATTGTGTGCCGGTTGCCTTTCTTATCTCGCATCGCTCAGCATACAAGATATTGTGGTTTTAGACGAGGTCGGTATGAACTGTTGTAAGTTGAAGTATTGATTTGGGAGTTTACAATGGTGTCTTTGAGGTTGCGCGTTCGTCAGTGAACGACACCAGCAGCCGATGGGAATGCACATTTCAGACGTTCACTTTGTTCAAGTATGTTGCAATGCCATCGAAGGATTTTGTTAACGTTGGGGAAGTTCGTGCTGTAAGTTAAACACAGGTGTGTCCGTTGTAGGTTGTGTTGTGGTGGCTGCTTCATAAGAAGGTCAACTTGTTTTAGTTTTCTAGCTCTCTTCAAAAGTGTCATCAATTACATGTGGAGGATATTTCTGTTTATCAAGCATGAGTTTTAGCCTTTGTGAGCTCATGTTCAAGTCAGTGTCTTTTAAGAAAATTCGCTTAAGACAGTGGGTCTGGCCGTATGCAATGCTGTTTTTACAATGGCACGGGTGATCACTTTTGTAATGGAGGTACTGTTGTCGATTCGTTAGTTTGCGGTAGAGGGTTGTGGAAAGTTTGTCATCTTCCATTGTTATCGTAACGTCAAGAAAATTTACGAATACTTGTGAGTAGGTGTGTGTGAATTGTATGTTTGTATGCACAGCATTCTAAGTATACATAAAACTTCGCAGTTCGTCCTCACTGTGAGTCCAAATAAGAAGAATGTCGTCATTGCACCTCCTGTAGGGGAGTGGTTTCAAGAGAGTTTGGGACGAAAATTCGGTTTCTAGTTTTCCCATGATAATGCTGAAATAGTTTGGTGCGAGCTTGATACCCATGGTGGTTCCACTGATTTGTCTAACGTGCTCTCGGTTGAACTCAAATGAGTGCGATTCCAAAACGAGCCTTGTGAGCATTGCGATGGCAGAAAAATCTGGGTTGTGAGGTTGTCAATGGTGTGTGTATGTGTTTTTTAATGGCGCTATGCCATCATTGTGGGGAATATTTGTATAAAATTAGGACACATTACGAGTAACTAAGTACGGATGTTTCGGAACGGAGGGTTTGCAATATCTCGAAGAAAATGTGTGGTGTCTTTTACATACGACGCGAGAGTGCAAGAAATGTGACCTATAGTTTGTCTACGTACCCTGATATGGGCTCGGTTACTGTGCCTATACCTGATATGATTCGTCGGCCTGGGTTACCATGCATATGGATTTTTAGGAGTAGGTAGAAGCGACCTGGACGAGGGGATACTGGTCACATTACCTTGTACTCACTGCGTGTTATTCTTCCTTTGTCCAACAGCTTTTATGTTTCTACGATACCCGCGTATTTGTCAGTCGGATGCCCTGGAGGTGTTCGCAAAATTTTAAGTCATTTAGTTGACGGTATGCTTCTTGTAAATAGTCGGGTGTATTCAAGACTACGATTCCCCCTCCTTTGTCAGCGGGTTTTATTGTATACCAGTACAGGATGGTGGGTTTTGCATATACTCTTTTTCCAAGTTTTTCCAAGTTTTCCCAATTTCCTATTTGTTAGCGGAATTTTTGTGATATATCTTTCTGGACCACGTTAATATCTACGTCCAGACACTTGTCTCGGTGACTGTTTGGTTTCCAATTGTTTGTTCGGTGGCGGGGAGTCTTTGGGGTGTTAGAAGGCTTGTCTAAGAAATTTTTGCACCACCTCAAAGTTTTAGTGAAGTTGCCGAGGTCTCGGAGTAACTGAAACTTATCAAAAAGTTTTCTAGTTGGGCAGAAGCTTACTCTTTTGCTCAAAATATAAATGTGAACGCAAACAGAATATACTCTCATTCCTGAGCCTGGCAAGACTCTGGCCGAAACTGCCAAAATAACGCTTCTGTTGTTGCGTTGTTGCCGTTCTTACGGAAACATTCACTTATATATATATATATATATATATATATATATATATATATATATATATATATATATATATGTGTGTGTGTGTGCGCGCGCGCGCGCGCGCGCGTGTGTGTGTGTGTGTGTGTGTGTGTGTGTGTGTGTGTGTGTGTGTGTGTGTGTGTGTTTGCGCGCGCGCGCGCGCGCGCGCTCAACGTAGCTTAGCTTCGCCTTTCATTTCGACTCGTCGTCCAATCCTTGTGAAAGTGGATGCCCAGCTGAGCTGCGGTAAACTACTCTACAACTGCTGCGAATGTTATTCATTATAAATATAAAAGCAATAAAGATACTTGAAATGAAACAAAAATGGCGTTAACGTCTGATGGTACAAAAAGCAATGTCGCGCATTGGAAATGTTACATTCGATAACATAACGGGAACATGTCATTCTGTCATGTGTTGCGCGAGAACACCACAATGCCAAGTTTTGCGTGATTACACATCGCCAAGTGCATATTACAGGTACTTGCCGATTGACGGCATCGTGGTCACGCGATGACTTTACCAGGCGAAACTGTAGAGGTTCCCGCTTTTGCGCATTTCTTCAAATCGACACACATTTTTCCACGAGAAGCCCGACACCACACAAGAATCCGGAACTGGAGTTTAAAATATTTGCTGTAAAGGTTGCCTAAAGTATTATTGTCTACTTATACATTACGACATTGTAGAGGAAAGAAAGAAAGCCGTAGAAGAGCGCAGGAGGAGCGTTTCGCCAAGAAGTTTGTGGACTTGGTTAGAGGGCACATTTGCTGGAGTGCCGCCACCGTGAAACAAACTCTACAAAGAGAAAAAGACGTAAAAGCTAACCTGCGTCATGTTTTAGTCTGGGTAGCTTAACGTAAGGAAAGAGAAGTGCACGCAAAAGTAAATTGGGCAAGAAAAACCGGGAATGCAAAGAGGATGGTTCAACCTACACGAGATAGAATAAGTTACAACAGCTTAACAGAGCCCCTTCGCTCTACTGACGTCTCGAACGCATCTTTCTGTTTTTTTAACTAATCGTTGTAACAGTCTAATAGAGCCAGCAAAGGAAAAACATTGGAGTCAAGAGCCTTTTCGCAATCAGAATTTGTGCTTTTTTAGCCACCATATATAGCCTTACAGGCAGCCTCAATGGCGCAACACCTTGATTTACTTGTTTTTTCTTTCTTCTCACTGAAGCGCGCATATGCAGGAGCGAAGGAACAGGCTTTCGTGATACACACTAAGCGCCCTCCACATGCCAATGTTATAAGGCCATATTCGCCGGAGAATTCTTGTTTGAACGTCTTCGTACAAACTGCACGGCCATGTCCATGTTCGTGGATCTCACTTCTGCCGTTCTGACTCCGACCGCAATGGTCGTGCCACGTGCGCTCACCTGGGCAGCAGCGTTATTTCTCTTGGCATGGGTTTCCAAGAAGTGGGGCCTGCAATGGATTCGCACCTGGCTAAGGATGAAGTCACTGCCGGGCCCTTCGGACTGGATACCCTTCTGGCTTCTCACCAGCATATTATGGAGAAATAGAAGACAGCTCGAAAAAGAGAGCTTCACAACAGGTAAGGATCTTGGCGCTGGCTTAGCTAAACTATGTCACGGTGTTTCGAGGAAAAGGCGTAGCTGTCCTTACACTTCGTTCCCTTCATTGCCACCCTGGAGGCATCGGTGAACAGGCTGCACTACAGTTACTACTTATGTTACCTATGAGCTTAGAGTGGCGCATAGGCCTGCTATTATGTTCGATGGCTGCGCAGTGAATACACTCCTCATGTCAGGAGACAAATACAGCGTGAAGTTTCGGTTTAGGCGACATGCCGCAGACATATTCACACGCGCTGAAAAAGATTGCACTTTTACAGAGAATCTGTATATTGTTATAGCTTGTCGAGCGTCGCGTCTGCGGGCAAAACGAGGTGTAGAACAACAATTTTAGAGCGTTGTGCCACTCCCAGTGGCTGTGCAGGGCATACTAGTTACAAAATATCATACTACTCATACTAGCAACAAAATATCAACAAGTGACCCAAGATATACTTAAAGTGAATTGAAAACGCAATAAATGTAAAAAAAGTGAACGAGTTAATTCAACGTGAATTAAGTGATTGAAATGTTAAACTTATTCAGAAGTGTGCTAGGTGAGCAGAAAGTATAATGATTGTAGTGAAGTCGTACATGGCTTAGTTCTGACCAAAAGTGCATGCGTTTATTAAGTCACGTGCCCGGAGAACATTACATTAGAGGCTGGCTCCCTCGCTTCTCCCCAAAGCTTTCTGATACATGCTACGATCGAAGAGCTCAAACGTTCGCTTACTTTACCGCGTTGTACTACGCAACGAAAAACGCCGCAATTATTTTGAGCATACCCGCAGCATTTTCTCACCTTGCGAAGAGGCAAGAATCATTTGTCTTTAGGGCTTCTAAAAGAAACTTCATGCAAGTGTGGTCACTAATTATGTGAGTTTAACTAAGCCGCTTAAGCCAGCTGATCTGAGACCGTCACAAAAAGGTCATTGCCGTACGGTGACGCTGAGGACGGCTCACAAGGTAACATTTATCATTAACCATCAATCACCGCTGCTTCTCTGTTCGAAAAAAACAAACAAACATTAAAGGTGAATCTGAAATAAACAAGTCAGCGCGGAAGCCGCCCTTTCGTGTCCGTCAAGCTGGCTTCGCCATGGCAAAATAGAAGATTTGACGCCATTTTGAACTACGCGACGGCGCTCGCCGAATAGCGGTGCGATCATGCGAAGAAAAATAGTGCACAATCAAGCTTCCTGTAGCAGCATATACAGACACACTAGGTTGCACGTAGGAGTGAAATGGACGCCTCATTGTCGATGCGAATCTTAAGTGACCGGGACTCATTGGCATGCGCACTTGGTGCGAAGTGGTCAGGGTCATATAAAAGCGACAATGAAATGGCGTACCTTTTCTTTCTACATTTATGGCTGCGCAAGCGATGAAAATAAAGAAGCGGGAACGGTGGGGCGCGACTGAGGTAACCAAAAAGCGCGTCCTCGCTTGCTTCGTCCGTGTGTTGTTTTTTGTGTGTTTGTGTGTTACAAGTTCCACCACGTATCACGACCAAAAAGCCCACTCTCACATCTTAACGTTTTCTGTATTGTTATCAGACTGTTCACCATCGCAAGTAATATAAGAAAAAGAAGGCTTCATGAAAAACCTAAATATATCCTGACATGGCATGAAAAAAAACAACAAAATGAACAGTGACGAAAAGAAGAGGGGAAAAAAGAAACGCGTCTTGAAAAAAGTATTGAGCGCATACCTGAAAATTTCTTTGCAGGAACACACACACACCAAATGAAAGTCAAGTGCCGCACTTTATATAAAGCTCAGCGAGCTGGTTGACATTCGTACTAAAATACATCGCAGCAGGCATTAGGACCCAGTGCAAAAAAGTACATGGCACAGGCACTTTTCTGAGAAAGTGTCGTGTGCCATCTCTGCGTATTATAGCCTACGGTGGTGCTATCGTGTCTGCCGCAATGCTTATTAAAGCACACCACAGGTGTTTCTACAAAACTGACCAACCTCTCCACCCATTAAAAGCTTGTTGGGATCCGTGTAATACATATCTGAGTTTCATTGCCTGGTACGCTCATTCCCCTTGAACTGAATTCCGGCTTTGCGATATGTCATACGATACAAGTATACGGTAGGATTTAATACAGGATTTCGATATAGCCAGTCTGGTGCCTTTTGATTGATATGTGGGGCTGTACGTCCCAAAAGCACCATATGATGATGAGAGACGCCGTAGTGAGGAGCTCCAAAAATTTTGACCACCTAGGGTTCTTTAACATGCACCCAAATCTGAACACACGGGCCTACAAGTCTGGTGCCTTTTGTCTGTCTATTTTCTATTGAGCCGGCGAAGCTATACGTAAGCTTCAATCATGCTCATATGCATCTCCACTGTAACTTTTCTAAAAACTGTGACATGCGCCTTTATATGAGGCTGCATTGTGCTATGCCCTTAGTCAACGCACCATATGATGTCAGGTGCTACATGACTGTTGGCGGCGGTGACAGCATTCCTGTAAAGGCAGGATGGGGAAAAATAGTAATGATGTTCTTATATATACTTAGATATAGGCGCACGTCAAATGGTCCAGGATGGCCAAAATTGTACGTGCCCGATTATGTTTGGACAATAAAGATGGTGTACGATGCTCTAAAAAAACAGAGTCACGATATGAATAGGTCGTTGGGCTGTGCTTTAAAAAGCTGGTTCGGGACTTCACAGAGTCACTGGTATTTGTGCGAGCTTGCTTGACGTATTTAAGCTTCTTGCAGAATCTTGTGGCATTCCTTCATACGTTACTGCGCTTTTTCGTACCCATCGAAGAGAAATGTCATCACCCCACATTCCGAGTCTATTCCTCTTGCCAAACGAACATCCTTGGAATTATTTTTGTGTATCGTGCCCCGTTGGCGGCAGATCGCTGTCGCGTTCACGAATGACGCTTTCGCAAGTCTTCGGCGCAGTGCAGACATTTATGTTGTCTGGTATAGTCTGAAGGCATGCAGGTCGACAGGTGAATTTTAATGTAACCATGACGTACTGGCTGTTTTTTTTTTTAGGGTAAACACTATGACGTACGAGATATTGGCGGGGAAAAACCGGCATGTTTGCATCGATGTTTAACTACCTGTTTTGCGGAGCACACACACACACATAAGCACACATTACTGGGTGTCCCACATAACTTGATCCAAGAATCTGAAAGTGAAAGACACTTAGGAGGCGAATGGAACCAGACACATGCTACTCGCACTAGCCTGTATGTACTCAGGCTATTTCTTATTACTCCCCATACTAAATAATGATTATTTCTTTATTACCTAAATATTTAGCTATGGGCTGGAAACTCAAAATATGAACACTGAGATGTAGAGCACTTTCATATACCACCGAGTAAATTGCTTCTCGTACGATACGTATCGCGTTGTTATTTTTTCCACGTTATAAAGAAAGCCCGTGACACATAAAAGGAAGCCGTGTGACGGACCGCGAGCGCACTGCTATAGTGCTGCTATATATATAGGCTTTTTTTTTACAACACGGAAAAAATAACAGCGCTAGACGTATCATACAGGAAACAATTTAGTCGGTGGTTTCTGAAAATGCTCTACATCTCAGTGTTCATACGTTGGGTTTCTAGCCCGTAAATAAATAAGAAGTAATTAAGAAATATTAGTTAATTAGTATGGGAGAAATAAAAAAATAGCCTGAGTACCTACAGTCTAGTATGAGTAGTATGCGTTTGGTTCGATTCGCCACTGAAGTGTCTTTCATTTTTAAATTCTTGGCTCAAGTTAAGTGGGACACCCTTTATACACATCTTGCCACTCATGCACTGGGGAGATTTTCCACCACGTTTGAATATTGACTAAGGTACTCGGCTGCTGAATCAATGGTCACGGTTTGGATTCCGGCCGCGGCAGTCCATTTCGGTGGAGGTGAAATATCAGAGACCAGGGTAGCGTGCGATTTGAGCACACCTGAAAGAACTCCAGATGTTACAAACTTCCGCACCCTTTCACTACGGCGTCTATCAAAATCACCTCAGGGTTTTCGGTCGTAAAACGCCAGATACTAGTATTGCTCGAAAGAAGTGGCGAAAGAAATTAGCGGGTCGTGTCACAACGACCATTTCGAACTCACCGAACGCGAAAATAAATAAACTTTGTTGACAAGAATGGGGCGATAATATCGGTTTGGGTAGCCTCAGAAGGTGGCTCTGAACTCCGTGGCCTCGGGCGGCATCTTCGGCCTGCCGGACGGCCCAGAGCTTGAGTACATTTTGTTCTTATCCTTCATTTTTTTTCAAACATTCGATTTAAAGGGTGGCTGCTGCTGCAAAAGAAATGGCGATCACTTCTTCATATATTTGTTTCAGGAAAAACAAATGGAGGTAAAGATTGCAATTTATGCAGACTCTCCAGTTACGGCGTACTTCCCGACCATGTCGTAGTTGTCGCACCTAAAATTTCAAGGAAATGAATTTGATTTAAAGTGTACTTTGCGCCTATTTATACTTCAGGGAAAAACTTACAGGATAAGAACAAGGCATCGCGAGCGCTGAATAAGTGGACAATTATTTATGCCGGGCCACTCGCCAGTTTTCCTGGCAAGATAGTGCTGCGCCGTGGGCCGCCCTTGAAATTTCGTCACTTTTTTGTCGTGGCGCCCTTCCGGGTGACATAACAGAGTGGTAGCTTATTACGTGCCGCATGCCGGCACTATACAGATCTCGTAGTTACATAACGGAAGCGTCAAGTTCACTGCGTCATTTCTGGAGTTAATGTGCGGCTTCCATAAACTGTGGCACCCTACAACTTTTACACGTAAATAAGTGCCGTCACGCTTAAAGGCGTCATCAAGACATCTTCGCGAATTAGGGATTGCAAAATCCTTTAGCAGCGGCAAGGTATGTGCGCGTGTGCTAGTACAACCACAATGACGTTTAGCAAAAACCTTGGTGGGCGTTCTTTCTAGCCTGGCAAGACGCAGTTGTTATATACCTTCCTC